CTTTTGGTAAATATATCAACAATGTCAGCATTGGAAAAAATCAAAGATGTCAGCACAGGAATAAGCAGCTGTTTATGTCTTAAAGTGTTTCTGCCTCACTATCACAAGACAACCTTGTCACTTAAAAATCAGAAAAGTATTGCCAGGGAGAAGGAATGGAAGTTCGCTGAAGGGAAATGAAGTTTTGGTGTTGTTTTTTGGGGTTGTTTGTTTTTTTTTTAAAGTCTGAACTGAAAGTTGTAAGCAGAGTTGAGCCCTGCAGCTGATTCTGAACTCAAATGCTTCCTTCAGTCCCACTGCTATAAATGCAAAACAAATGCCACATGAATTGTTATTACTATTGCACATTAAAACTCTTGAAAGTAATTTTCCACTGGAACTTGGAGAAGTTCTGCAAAAATAATCCATGTTTTCTGTTACAGTGTATGTGTTACACTGGATTGACAGCTCTCTTCTAGGATAAATATTTTTCCACCTCTGAAAGACAAAACGGGTACCTTCATAAGTAGGAATAAATGTAGCTGGAAAGAAGGTGTAAAGAACCCTTTTTTTTTCTTTTTTCTTTTTTATTTTTCTTGTGACTGGGGCAATTTACACTTTTCCCAGGAGGTAATTTTTCCTCTCCAAAACATATATGTGAATAACATGAACTTCTGGCTATGAGATGCTGGGTCCTCAAAGGCTGTTGAGTACCTTGGACTGATTTTTAGGAGGGTTTGGGGTATTCTCCTTTCCTGAACATACAGGAATGTATGTTGCTGTCAATCTCTCAAGTTGGGGTGAAAATGCAGATCTCGGGTTATGCTTTGGTTTCTGATCTCTTGGTTAGTTTTGGTAGGCATCTGCACCTTGGCTAAGTGCATGTGAGATACTGGCCTTTTCATTGAGCACACTTTGCACCAACGCAAGCATTTACAGAAGAACCCAGGCACTGGCAAATCACATTTTCCAGATCTTGCAGAATGGAAAATGCAGCAGTTTTTTTGCCTTGCTAGCCTGAATGCTGTGGCAGCACGGTGAGTTATTTCTGGTGAGCTGTGTGGACTCTCTTCATCTAGGCAAAGTGTCCACGAATCCCAGCAGCAATTAGAGAGGTGGCTGGAGATGTGCAGGGTCTCCAAGAAGCAGGCTCTATCTTCATGTACCCACCTTGCACTTCAGGGAGGAACAGGGAGAGAGGAATGATTGCAGGTAGAAATGAAGACTTCAAAATAAAACAAAGCAACCCCAAACAACAGGATGGCTATAAATTCCTTGTCAGATTTCATGATAAATAGCAATAAAGGGAACTAAAACCACTTGTGGGGCTCCTTCAATTCTTCTGTGTCTGCAGAACATTTGCCTTAAAATGTTGTACAAACTAATAAAATGGAAGCTGCTTTTTTAATAGGCATAAAATTGTCTATATGGTTCCCCAAATTCACAGATTCCTCCCACAGTTCTCTTGTTTACAGTATCCAGAGCATATGGATAATGAGAAAATACCGTGAGAGGCCAGGGGTTGCTTAAGAAAGTTGTGACATGAGGGCAACACAAGGGAAAGAGAAGTCGTTTTATTTGAAGGAGCTGATGAATCAGTGCTAGAAATTAGAGGCACTTGTCAAAAGATGGTAATAAGAGGTATAGAAGGATGTAAAAAAGGTGACTGTATTTTTTTGGCATACAGTTATGCTAGGGCCAGTGATGCAAATAGTTTCTGCCCGGTTGGAGGGGAATCTAGCAAGATATGCAGAGCTGCCATTTCTAGTGTAAAGCTAAGGGAGTTGGGTAGTGTTTCTGCGATTGCCCTGTAGAAGAGACAAATTTATACTTGATCTGATGCAGTGCTGGTTCTCACTGTGAACTGTGGCTCCAGTTAGCAAAGGTCTTCCTTCAAGAATGGAGAAAAAAAGAAAAAGGAGGAAAAAGCCACCTCCAAAAAACCCAAAATAAAAGCAAGGGATCTTTGTTGCATTGACTGGAAAGGTCAATACCCAGCATCGAGCCTCACGACTTGCAGGAGTTTGGAGGGAGTATTACTAAGACCCAAGTGCTGAGAAATCCCAAGATTCAATGTTCAAAGTCCCATCATTTACAAAGAAGAGCCCATGGGCTGGTTTGCTGGGAATGGAGTAAGGCATGTTTACATGTTTGGTTTTTTTCCCCTCTCTTTTTAAGGCTACAGATGCATCTTCTTTTGCACATCTCTTTTTCTGTGTCACTTAGTGTCACCTGGGCCTCTAATCTCTCTGGGAAGAAATATGACAAAACTGAAGGAACCAAGAAGCTGTTGTAAAAGCAGGAAAAAGCATGAGCAAGGGCACAGCAACCAGAGCTTTAATGATGAGTGTTTTTTACCTCTTTCTCCCCTTAAAATTTTTGTAGCCTGATGTTTGACAGTAATAGTTGGTTGAACAGGTATTAGGGTTTTTTCCTAAGGTTTTTAGTCCTAATTGTCCTCATCCCTTAAGTGTGCTGCAATGGGAACCTGCATGTTTCACCCTGGGGTGATAAAAGGAAACTTGAAATGCCAAGTGCCAGACACAGTTTTGCTGCCCATATGAAATGAGTGTGAAAAAGAGAGGAGGTTGAGTTTTTCTGGTTTTGGTGTGTGTTTTTTGTATAAGTCCTTTTTTCCAAATTTTGTGAGGTACTGACACCGCATAGTATTTGAGCTTTTATTTGGGAGTTTTTCATTTGGTTTTTTGTTGTTTCCCCCCCAAGGTGGCACTGACAATTTGTTCTCACCTTCTTTTGATTTTCTGTGCTAGGTAGACTCAGTCTTTGCCATCCCTTGATCCAGGGACATGCAAGGGGACTTCAGGACTTGCTAGAGGTGGGTGGGAAAGCCCATACAGAAACATCCCATGTTCCTCACTCAGCCCCTTGTATCATGGTGCTTTTACTCTCTTTGGTGATATTCTAGAAGGCAGCATGTATTTGGGGAAGTTAAAGCTGGTGTTCACAGCCTTCAACTTCTAAACCGAGTTTTTTGAAATGTTGGTTATAAACCTGGAGCTTTCTAGGTTGCATGCTTTTGCTTCTGTTTTTTGTGTCCAAGTTCTTGCATAAAAAAGAAATGGCTGCAAGGAAACACTTGGCCATTCAAAGCAGATGCTTCCTGACAGACAGAAAGAAAGAAAACATGCAGATGGATCCTAGGTGTGTCTGTTCCTCCTTCCACTTCCAATTCCTCATAATTTTGGATCCTGACTTGTGATTTTGAAGCTTCTCTTTGATCCGTTGCTCTTATTCTATGTAACGTGGCCAGAGCTGTCCCTACATCCAGACAAAGTATTGATTAGGCCAGTGCAACTGCTTTTTGAAAGGCACATTGAGCCCAGTAAAGGATTTTTGTTGAAAGTGAAGTTTTGGATGATGTTCAAAGTCTCTCCTGGAAGACTGCCCACTTGCATGGTCCAAGCTACCTGTGATATTCCAGCCAAGCCACCTGTCTATAAGTAGCAAGGGGGAAGACAACAAAGTTATCCTTCTTGTTAATAAAATTGTTTTTCTGTGTATATGATAAAACTAGTCACTTGCTGTGATAACTATCATCTTTCAGCTAGAAAACATGAGAACATCCCAGCCCTCTGGATTCTTATTATTATCCAGCAAAACAGCCCAATGAGCAAGCGTATCAGCTCTTATTAATCTTTCCATAAAATTAAAGAAATTATGGAGCTTAAGGCAGTCACTAATAAATCAATTTTAATTTATAGACTCAAATAAAATCCTCATTAAGGCTGACAAACTATGGCCTCAGGTAAACATGAAGCATTTCCACTGCAGACCTAAATGAGTTCTGCGCTGGATGTCACGGCTTCTGCCAGAAGAGCAGGATGGTCAGGGGTCCCATGTCACATCAGAGGCAGCAGTGTCTCAGAGAAAGTAAATGCAGTGGTCTAGCCCATAGGAGGTCTCTTTCTGGCATGCAAAGGCATAAAAATAAAGGATTAATAATCTTTTTCTCTCTCTCTTTTTCTCTCTCTTTTTTTTTTTCCTTTAAAGAAACAAGCAGATAGAACCACTGTTTGTTAAAGGCTGTTGCATCCCCAAAATACACAGAACTTGTACATAGAGGTGCTTGTACTACGAAAGCAGAGGTAAATGTGGGTTTCCACATGTGCACAATCAGTCACCCATGAACGTGAGTCATATGTGCCACAAGGAAAGCATCTCACAGGGCCCAACCTCTGTATGTGTGTGTCCTCTTAACCTGAAAGATGCTTACTGCAGTGAGCAGAGTCACTTCTTTCTCTGTGCGGTTGTACGGCAAGATCTGAAGTGAACATTGTTCTCACTGTTGAAAAAAAAAAAAATCATCTCAGGAGACACATTTTGCTGGGCAGGATGATTGAATAAAACTTAGCCATTTATAAGTAATGCAAGTGTGTTGGCCGTGTATGAAAAACGAATATTTTGGGGTTTAGACAGCTTATTTGGTGATTTTTTTTTTCACTCAAGTGTTGCTGTTTCTAGTTTTTGCTTTTCATTAAACAGCATTATTCAAAATGACTGTTTTTGTGGAAACACTTTATAAATATTTTGTAAAAAATATTTCTTACGACTGCTATGAAATATACAATGATTATTTTTTCCACAAATGTTGTTGGTTTAGTCTTTGCATTTCATTTGGTGGGGGATGCTGGTATTCAAGGTTAGTTGAGGTCATTATGATGGAGTTTGGGTTTCAAGAAGTACAGAATCACATACATGTAATCATTTTTTTTTAAATCTTCCTCTCAATTTGGTTTTAAAGATATACCTCCTCGTGCTGTAACAGCTGCTTAGAGGAGAAGGGGTTGTGCCACCATACCTCTTCTCTTTTGGCAATAAGCTGATGAAGACACCAGTGTTTGCCATCAGCCTTTGCGCGCTTTCTGGCAAGCTTCCCCAGCTGATGCTGAAGTCCTGGCTTCTGCATCTTCAATCCTGTTGACACTGGAGGGGCTGCTCAAGCTCTTGACCTGTCCTTCTGTCTGGATTGTTTTCTGACTCTCTCTCTTCTTGTTTTTCAGATGCAGTAATCGTACCCAATGTGCAGTTGTGGCTGGCCCTGATGTGTTTCCAGACCCTTGCCCTGGGACATACAAGTACCTGGAAGTGCAGTACGAATGTGTCCCTTACAGTATGTGTCTTGATATATTTGCATTTGTTTCTTTAATAGAGATCTGATTTATTGTGGAGACTGGGCCAGTCTTGAGCTTGTCTCTTGTTGCTCGAGGGCAAGTAAATCCTCAGTGACAAACCGTGTACCTCATATGAGACTGAGCTGATAAGAAAAATTGTCCTCTGTGCAAGATTTGTGCTTAGGTTAAAAATGCCCTAAAATACCCTAAAAATACCGTAATAGTGCCCCACATTATTGTTGTTCAGTGTAACGGTGACATATCACCTTTTGGAAAACACTTGGGAAGCCCCATGAGTGAAAGCAGACCAGAAGAATGAAACATTATTGCTAGCTTTTAGGGTCTCTTTCCAGAGTTTTACGCTTGTAATTGTATAGCAGTGCGCTTTGACCGACCTACGTCCATGTAATTGGTGACATTTGATAAGTGCCTTAAATACAGTATTGTATCGCTGAGGAAGTAGAAAGCTAATGTTTTGGGAAATTTGATGTTTTATGGTAGAAAATACTAATTCCTAAGCTTGCAAAGTTATGAGGGCAAATTACAGGCAAGCTATTTAGCCTGAATTTTTGAGGGTACAAAGACAGTCATTTGGGATTACAGCAATATGCGCCAAATGGAAAATGTCAGAGCTACAAAAAGTTAAGTGTACCTCAGAACTTGCTTTCTCTGTTGTGGTGGGCTGACCCTGGCTGGATGCCAGGTGCCCACCCAAGCTGCTCCCATTCTCAGCTGGGAAGAGAAAATATAACAAAAAGCTCGTGGGTCGAAATAAGGACAGGGAGAGATCATTCAGCAATTACTGTCACAGGCAAAACAGACTCAACTTGGGGAAAATTAATTTAATTTATTACCAATCAAGTCAGTAGGGTAATGAGAACTAAACACAAATCTTAAAAACACCTTCCCCCCACCCCTCCCTTCTTCCCAGGCTCAACTTCACTCCCGATTTTCTCTACGTGCTCCCCGCCATTGGCACAGGGAGATGGGGAGTGGGGATTGAGGTCAGTTCATCACACATTGTCTCCGCCGCTCCTTCCTCCACAGCGGGAGGACTCCTCACAGTCTTCCCCTGCTCCAGCAGGGGGTCCCTCCCATGGGAGACAGCCCTCCACGAACTTCTCCAACATGAGTCCTTTCCACAGGCTGCACTTCTTGCACCCACAAACTGCTCTAGCATGGGTCCCTTTCATAGGGTCACAAGCCCTGCCAGCAAACCTGCTCCGGCATGGGCTCCTCTCTCTCCATGAGTCCACAGGTGCTGCCAGGAGCCTGCTCCAGCGTGGGCTTCCCATGGGGTCACAGCCTCCTTCAGGCATCCACCTGCTCCAGCGTGGGGTCCTCCCTGGTCTGCAGGTGGGGATCTGCTCCACCGTGGAGCTCCATGGGCTGCAGGGGGACAGCCTGCCTCATCATGGGCTTCCCCAAGGGCTGCCGGGGAACCTCTGCTCCGGCGCCTGGAGCCCGTCCTGCCCCTCCTTCTGCTCTGACCTGGGGGATGCAGGGCTGCTGCTCTCACACATTCTCACTCCTCTCTCCGGCTGCAGTTGCACAGTTTTTTTTTTCCCCTCTTCTTAAATATGTTATCCCAGAAGTGCTACCACCATTGCTGATGGGCTTGGCCTTGGCCAGCAGCAGGTCCATCTTGGAGCCAGCTGGCATTGGCTCTATTTGACACAAGGGAAGCTTCTAGCAACTTCTCACAGAAGCCGCCCCTGAAGCACCCCCTCCCCTCACTACCAAAACCTGGCCACACAAACGCAATACATGTAGAAACCATATTTGTGAGACACAGTTATGGTCCTATTGTCAAAAATGGCATCCCTCAAAAAAGAAGTAAAAACAGTAATACTAGGAGTACATTTTTTATTAGCAGTCATAAAGGGCTGAGCGGTGAATAACAGCACTATTTCTAGGTTTTAAGTTTGAGTAGGCCAAAGCTCATAGCACACCTCTCAAAACAATAAAGCAGGTATGGTAATGGATGCTTTCAAGCCACAGAGTTGTATTGAGAGAGCAGCAGGAGCCTCCAATTTGCGGAAACCCAGGATTTGGTGCAAGGACGAAGAGTATCTTCTTCATTGCCTCGAGCATGAGCTGTAGGAGAGCAAATGTGGCTGAGAAACAACAGGCACGCTGTCCGGAGGAGAAGCAAGAACTTACAACCCATCGAGTGGTCCCTGTCCCTCACGCAGGAGGTGGCTGCCTGCCTGCGAGGTGGATGGAAAGTCTGTGTGAGGTTTTCCTTGTGAAACTGGAAGGTGAGGGATGTGGCTAAGACCACCTCTCTGAGCAAAGGGGACCCTCTCTGCTGAGGGACTCTGTCTCTGCTGGCAGGGGGTTCAGCATGTCCATAATTGACTTTTCTAAACAAAAATGTGAAGCTTCTAAATGTAGTGATGGAATATTTTTTTATGGGGTGAGCTATTAAACCCATAGAAAGAGTGACATGAGGGGCTTAGGATTTGCCCTAGTGAGCTCATAGGGCAAAAATTACCAGTTTGGAGTTATTCCATTCTGTGCATGGGGAGGGCAAGGTGGGTTGGTTTGTACTTATCATAGCAGGTTGTATTTATTTTTGTGATTTGCATGAGGTATACTGTTCCCTCCTGAGACGGGGCTGGTAAAGGAATAGTCATTACCTAGTACCCCTCTGTAGCCTTTGTTGCATATAAAACAAAGAGGAATAGTGGTGCCTTGTGAGAAAGATAATATGTGAATATTATGCCCCGAGGTGTTAATCAGCCCTATGTACAAGATGTAAAATAACTCTTGTGAGAGGTTGCTCAGTACCAAACATACAGTAGGGATTGAGTATGTTTTAATGATCTGAATGTGGGGAAAAAAACAACCACCACAACAAGCCATGCTGCCTTTGCAATTAAGTTAGTAGCTTTGATGGCTGTTTCCTCCATTTGTTTATGAATCAAATATAGTGCCTCTGTGAGTAGAGTTGGGGGTAAGGGGAATGAGGGGCAAGAACGTTGTAAAATAGAATCCAATCTCCTGGGCTCGTTGTTCTGCATTGCCTAGCAAATTTTGGGTTAAATCTTCATGCATTGTTATTCAGTGTAGCACCAGGAAAGTTGGTTGCATTCAGCTCAACTGTGTCCCTTCATCTGTAGACATGGAGTGGGAAACCTTGGGCTCCTTTCTATTTTTTTCGTACCTCAGTCTCTGCCTGGCTTTGTTACAGTCTCCATTTCTTCCCTCTGAAAATGGTCAGCTTGACTTTGCAGATGTTCCTTGCCAGAGCCCCAGGAGTGCCTCACAAGTGAAAGCCATCCAAGCAATGGGGAAGGTGTCAGCACTGACAAGGAGGTCAGCAAGGGTATAGTTGGACCAAAGCTACATCTGATGATTGAAATGTTTCCCCCTTGATGCCCTTGGTGATGCCTCTGCCATTTGCTGTGGGTCAGTTGGTCCCCTTGGGTTCTTGTCACCGAGCCCATGCGCTTCAGCCCCTCTAGCTAAATTTGGGCTGTTTACCCAAGTCCTTTCAGGTCCAGCTTTTTTAGCATTACTGCCCACACCTAGCATGTCTAGCATCATCACCTGGCATGATGCTTCACTGGAGGAGGGGAGTGGGCTCTACAGGCTCCCTGGCGTTGCTCACCACTGGAGGAGTGCTGGGGAAAACCATTCCTGAGCCACTGGCATTTGCTTGACTGGTGTCATGCACGGAGTCCTTCGTGAATGGTCACGTCTGCCATACGTCTGTCTCCTAAAGAAACACAGCAGTTGCATAACAAAGGAATTAATATTTCAGCAGCCACTTGTACTTGCATGCAATTCCAGCTTGCTTTGTCTGGTTGGATGGGTTACTCCTTATGGTTTTGAATTATTCCTTATGGATGAAGAGAGACACTTTAGCCAAGCGCTGGCTCGGCAGCAGAGGGGAGTGTGCATGCGTCTCAAGAGAGCAGTGTTCAGGAGTCTCAGTTTAACATCAGTTTAACAGATGTTGTTAGGACTGACTTTTAGGCACTTATGCTCAATATAGTGCTAGTGTATACACTCCCTCGAATTAAAATTATGGACGATTTAAAACTCTATTGGGTAGGCCACTCCTCTTGAGATTTTTTTTTTATTATTTATTTATTTATTTTTAACTTTTCCACCACTAACTTGTATCAAGAGGAAAGCATCCCCCTTTCTTCTCAGGAGGGGGAAAACAAACCAATTCTAACTTTAGTAGCTCATATATTTTTAAATCTCCTGTGCGTTCACTAGGGATACCCCTGACAAGGAGAGTTGCATGATGCTGCAGTTACTCTCAACATGTGGGGAAGACAACAGATGATGATACAGATAGCCCAATCCTCTCTTCATTTTCCTGATCCTGTAGTCAGTTTATGTGATGGCAGATGCTGTCTACAAAAATGAACCATCATTACAAGGACCTTTGGACTTTTCTTGCTGCCTTCTGACAATGAAAAGCAGGTGATTTCAGTGGGTGAAAAGATACCAGGCATAATTTGATAGGCTTCAGTGGCATCAATTGTCCTATTTTTCTGGTATCAGAAACAGTCACCAAATCAATTCTGTCTTCCTCCAAGCAGGCCTTGGCATGTGGTGTTCATTTCTCTGATACCTGCTTTAAATACTACCCCTTTTCTTCCAAAATACTGAAAATACTACTCCAATTTTCTTAAACTGAACTTTCTTTTAATCATTAATGACCAAGAGAACTTTTCCGTGGTTTTCTATTAAATATGTACTACTGCAGACCTGCAGTTTGCTATTGCCACAGCTGTGAACACATGACATGTTGTGGAGAGATGTCTGAAACAGCATTTAAGGCTGTGTTATGCTGTGTGTAAGTATGAGAAACCTCACTTTGCAAGGGTCCCTTTGATCCATTACTCTGTTGCCATTGTTGTTTTCCTGGTGCATCCATTCCCTGTCCCCTTCTCCCTTTATGCAGCAGTGTTAAATGGGTAATGGGAAGAGCAGTAGTGGAGGTGGTTTTGTCAAGCTAGGTCAACACTGTCATTGC